ATTGAGAGCAGCAAAAGCATAGTGTCACAACAGCACGGATTCCCCCGAAATCGATCCTGCACTACAAACTTACTTCTAACCCGAGCAAGCTGGACAGAATCAATGGATGCCAGAGTTAGAGTAGACGTCATCTACCTGGATTTCTCTAAAGCGTTCGATCGTCTGGACAAGCGCATTCGCCTTCACAAGCTTGGAAGCTATGGAATCGGTGACCCTTTGTTGGTTTGAGTAAGCAACTTCCTCATTCAACGTCATCTGAATGTGAGTGTCCGCAGCTCCATTTCCGACCCGATTGATGTCCAGTGTGGCGTGTCCCTAGGATCGGTACTGAGGCCACGTTTATTCTTAGTATTTATTAACGAGCGTGCTACAGTTCTGTAGTCGAACTTCTTGTTATTTGCAGACGATGTCAAAATTTGGCATGACATCAATACAGTGGACGATCACACAGCACTGCAGAGCGACCTCGACAGCGACTATAGGTCGTGATCAGAAAACCGGCTCCAGCTCAAAGTGACGAAATTCGAAGTTGTGAGCATACACTATCAGCTTAACAATGAATATGGACTTGGGGAGCAGCTGTTGCAACGTGCTTCTCAGGAATCCGACTTCAGGATACTCGTGCAGGATGATATTGGCTGCTCAAGACAGGCTGGAAACGCAACGAAAAGAGCCAGTCGACAAGTTAGACTCTTACGGTGAACTTTCAGAAGTTTCGAGCCACCAGTCCTCACGCAAATGTTGTAGGCTTAGGTGAGGCCCCACGTAGAGTACCGCGTTCCAGGCCTGGCGTCCTTGGCGCAAGCGCGACATAGAAGGGCTTGAAGCTCCCCGAAGTAGATCGATCAAACTCGTTGGGTGCACGTTCCACCTCCCTTACCAGCGCAGATTGCAGGCCCTGAGATTGTGCAATAGTGAATATCGACGTCAGGGAGGAGATCTCATCATGGTTTACTTACTACCGAAGAACCCAATTCATCGTCGTTACAACCTGCTGCAGCTGAGCCGAAATACCAAACGGAGAGGCCACGATCTCAAACTGGTCACACACTTTAATCGATTTGATGGTCAACAAAGCGCTTTCTCCTTCCGGGTGTACCGAACCTGGAGCTCCCTTCCAACCCACGTTATCCTTGCCGCTACATTAACGCTTTTCAAAAACGTCTTGATGAAACGCTTTCCAACTTGCATTACTTGCTATAGTCCGTTGCACTCGGAGGACGAAATAACGCGAACCAAACTATGTGCTTAGCAGCCCTATCCGCAACATGGCGGTGAGGATACATGCATAAGTGTCCTTATGAATAGTTTGGATGTAACTAAACTGAATTAACGTATCACATCGGTTAACTAAAGTGGCACACGAGTGAGCGTTATCCTTTCCGTGTTTAATTTCTCATGGAGTACGTGAACTATAACTGCTCTCCATACTATCTTGTGTGTGAACGCTGCTTTCCCCTCTCAAACTATCATTATGTAGCAGTGCAGCTAAATTAGTAGATACTTAAAATGACCATTCACATATTTTTTGATCTTGTTAGTTTTAATATTCACTCCACCCATCCTACGAGACTTGTCAAGCATATGCATTTTTACTCGTGATCAATCATTGTTAATTGCAGAGACTAAATTTGTCTGTCCAGGTAAGAATAGTTGGAGGGGGAGGGTGCAGGTGGACGAAGGGAACCTGTTTTCACGCGATGGGAACGTCGAACTGAGTCGGCACAAATGTTTGCTTTTCTAAGGAACCTCATTCCGTTAGAGCAAATGAGACAAAACGTAGCAGTAAGTGCGTACATACATCCCTACTTATTCCATAAGCGCATCTTGAACTCCAAACTGCCGCTCGCGCAACATGACCCACAGACACATGACAAAGATCATCTATAGCCACGTGTCCAGTGTCAGTTAAGCAGGTCTGTAAATAAGATATGGTTCAACAAACGTCGATTTGCCTTTTACTTCTTAAGACACAGTACTACAGCCTCGTGACTAGCGAGCTAGATTGTGGCATGTTTGCTTTCATGATGAACACGTGCGTATGTTGACAGCAGAGTGCTGGCTTCCACGTGACCATTCCATCATTAGGTATCTCTAGCGTGTACGTGGCCTGTCGGATTGCGAAAATATGTGTGATCACGATGGTGGCACACCTTGGTATGAAAAACAAAACAACCCAGCTAACGGAAAGTTTAGATATAGAAATCATGACCACAAGATGAACCCGGCAGCTTTGGTTACCAACTCTTAAAAATGATGTACGGAAACATTGGATGGGGTAAGCCGAGGGTATTTTAGGAATTTCCAAATAGTACGGAAGTAATGGATGTGGACTAATTTCGATTAATGTAAGTCGTAACCACACCCAGTGCGTATCTGAATAAGCATTGGACGTCCGAATAGTCATTTTACGGCCCATCAGCAATATGCATCCTATATCCTTTTTGACAGTGATAACTGTCAACGGTAGATGCCGGGTGGTGACGGCCGCGGTGACTAAGCGAATAGTTGCAGCTCAGCGTGATGCGACATAGTCAACAAAGTATCAGAGACCAAGCCCCTTCGTCCCGTAAAAAATGCCTTCAATGCTAAGGAGCAGGACTCGAAAATGCATGGTGATAAGGGATGCAGCTTGGCGTGCTTACAATGTTAACCCAGACTTAGAGAGTTGGAGCAATTTCCTAATCCATCGCAACCATTACACTGCACTTGTGCTTGAGGGCAAAGTAACTTATCAACAGGGCCTAGCCAAAAAGTTCCTGACAAAAATCAAACTACTGTATGAGCATCTCAACAATCTTCGTAAAGTGAAGCATGGCATCCCAATAGTTTTCACAACAGGCGGTAGAGCATAAAGCGCCGAAAAAGCAGCTAAGGCCATGCGGCTACAATACTGCCCAATTTTCGAACTCCCAGCCTCTACCTGTCCCATAATATCATACACATTACCGACTCCATTAAGTACACACGTACTTTTCAACCCATCTATTGTGTTAAGGAAGTTACACTCACTGCACGATCATGGCTCTCCGGGAGCCGACAGCATCCGCCCGAAGTCACTGAAGTTTGCGGCTACAAATCTAGCAGTACCACTACCACAGTTCTTCCAGAAGTGCTTCGATGATCAGCAAGTCCCCACTAGGTGGAAGCGAGGCATTCTCATCTCAAATCTTAATGGTGGTAGCCGTCCAGATCTTGCAAACTATCGCCCAGTGACTCTCCTCCCTTTGCTCGCGATGGTTATGGAAGCCGTCGCCGCTGAGGTTCTAAAAGACTACCTGGAAAAAAGCAACGTCTTGGCACCGGAACAGTATAGCTTCCGTCAACACAGGTCATGCACCACGAACCTGCTAATGGCAAGTAGTTGGACGGAAGTGGCTGAAGATGGGGTCTGAGTTAATGTCATCCATCTGGACTTCTCCAAAGCTTTCGACCGCCTGGATCACCTCGCCCTACTTCATAGACTACAGAGCTATAGAATCACAGATCTTGTTCTTGGTTGGATTGGCAACTTTCTTCACGAACGGAAGCTTTAAGTGCTTCTGAAGGGATCACTCTCTAACCCGATTGAGGTGGAGTGTGGTGTCCCGCATGGCTCAGTGCTAGGACCGCGCTTACTCCTGGTCTTTATCAATGATCTGTCAACAGTCATCTCAAATTTCCTGTTTTCGTTGATGATATCAAGATATGGTGGGCGATTACTAACCAAGAAGTTCACGATCTAATCCAGTGAGTTAGATTGCATTTTTGAATAGTCAACGAGAAGCTGCTTCAGTTGAACACAGCTAAGTGTAAGAAGATCCATTTGCGTTACCAGCCGGTGAGCGTTTACAAGCTTGGAGACGGCACTTTGCAGAAGGCCTTTCAGAAGCGTGACCTGGGTGTACGGGTACAGGAAGTTCTCGGGTGATAAAAACAAGAACCGGCAAGCGACACTTCCGCATTCTTCGCAGAGCGTTCGATCGGTTTGAACCCCCAATCTTCCCCAACTATTTGACGCCTACGTGCAACCGCACGTAGAATATGCTATCCAAACGTGGCAGCTGTGACAGAAACAGGATCTCGTTACTCTCAAGACTCCCCAACAACGAGCAACCAAGTACATCTGAGGCCTCTTACATCTGCCCTATCAGCTTAGAATGGAAATTCTAAGAAAGTACAGCAGTCGATATCGGTGTTTGTGGAGGGATCTCATAATGGTTTACGAGATTCTGAAGAACGCAAACCACATTTTCCGCTCTCTGCTGGAATCGAACCCAAACAGTAACCTAAGGAGTCATTCTCTGAAATTGACAACACAGTATAGCCGGCTTGAATGCCGTGGGAATTTCTTTCCCCCGCATGTGTTTCAGCCTTGGAACGCTGTTCCCATTTGTGTCGCCCCTGGTCTCAATCTGGGGATATTTAAAAAACGAGTTGACAATGCGTTGTCTCCGTTTCATTTCATTAGTTAACTTGTTAGTCAGGGGACTACAAAAGGCAATCGAACGGTGTCTTGCCAAAAGCCTAACCAATGGATTTATGGATTTGTACTTTTAATACGCCAACATCTCCACTATTCTACATAGGTCACGGTGAGTTCACCACAACGCTTTTCACTTTATCATGCACTTTTATTTTCGCAAGAATTTCCATCCCATGGGGCGTGGTAAGCACAACCTTTTAACCGTACTACACCATAGTCCCATAGTTCCATTACGGACAATTGTAGTTAACAAGGCTCTAGTTGACGCCTACGCATAAAACAAGGCAAAGAGTTGAAATTAAGCTGCGGTGGTCATGTAAATTTACATAGTCAGGAGCCCTCAGACGGATGTATATGATCTGGTAGCACTTTTGTGCTGCCGAATCCCGACTGCAACTACCACAGTGGAGTGATATACTACTTTGAGTTGAGAATTACTCACCTAAACACCAACAACACTGCTGGGGTCGTGTTTTCACTACCGAGGAGCCTGTGAGTTGAGACCACAAGGTCAGTGTATTCCATTCCGTCCAATCTGCTGTCAGTGCATGGAATTGTAACAGTGTGTGCGATATGTGAAACTGCAATGCCTACTTCCAACGAACCAGTTACTCTAGCTGATTATGAAGCGGCACATCACCAAGGCTGGCTTACGCGTTACTCTGCTGACGCTCAACGGTTTGTTAATAGTAAGATTCACATTGTTCCGTAAGCTCCGATTCCATACAGTTCACCGGAGTTGTGCTCTTTCTCGTTGTGTTCTCCACTCATGATGCAAAGCGCTTTAGGGGGACTATCTCGGAGATTTCACCCATCGTGAACGCTGTGCTTTTGCCACTGTTCGGTACTGTTGGAACAGTTGGAGTCGGAAAGATGATTTTGATTTGCCTAAAAGCGGTAAGAAAACAAATGACTACTTAAATGAATGCGTAATTGTAGTATTGTATGTGCTGCGGGATTGGGATATGTTGCAATGTTATATTTGGTTCCATCAGTTCGGCTCATGTGGAGAAGGTAAGCGATGAAGGCGGGCTTGGGGTGGAATAACGAAACCATCTCTATAACAGAATTGGTTACAGACGTTGTCAAGCTTGGAGAAGTCATTTGAAAATTATTACAAGGTCCCTTCGATTGCCAATAGTGTTGACGCACTCCAGAAATCGGTAAGTTGTACCGTTTGAAACTTTGATGAATTGCGTCAGTTGAAATGCTGTGGACTTCACGGCGCCTGGCAGGAGGATCGAGGACCCGTCCCGAGGTCTTGCTTTGATAACCAGTCAAAACAACAGTTCATACAGGTTAGTTGCATTGGTCAGATTGCAAGCATCCTGCTTGAATTCCCATCCATCTGTGATTGTCTGTCATTCGTACGCATTAAACAAAATATAACAGTGGGCTTAGCTGGTGCAGATTAGAGTTGGTGTATACCATGCTTTCAGGCACAGAGTGAACGTCACAGCAGGAAAACTGTAGAACGGAAGCAACTTCATTAATCAAAGTGCATAATTTAGAGTGGCGATGGACTAGCCACGTGGACAGTTACTAGCTAATATTTGCTTGAACATGACTGAAAATTGTAGTTGAGAATCAACTATCGCAAGTGTAATATTATACTGCCGTTGTGTCGCTGATATCACTTTAAGTGCTTCAGTTCTCACAGAATATCGAATATTTTACTCACATCAGATAAGTCCACAAAACGCTGCAGTTCACTGCGGAAGTAGAAGAAAACGGATGTTTTCCGTTTCCTGGGTGACTAAAGACACTCGGTGGAAGCATGGTAAATCCTAAAGTACATTGAAAATGATTGTAGGATGGTCAGAGCACTAGTTTCCAGGGCTTTGTCTCACTGACGTTGATGGGGAATTCGTTTGTTAATCTAGTTAATCGAGCGGAAAGAATCTTTTCCTACAATAGACTTGCAGAAGAAAACGCATGCACTCGACGCTACAAGAAGACTATTCAGGCACTTTCAAAAATGCCAACTGGGGCAAAAGTAGAAAGCTCCAGTGGTTTTGAAAGCCGATCGAAAGGTAATGCTTCATAACTAAAGTAAGCGGGTGAAATCGCGGCGGATATTTCAGTCGCCGTCTCGCGCATAATCTCAAACACATTTCCTCAGCAATCGGAAGGTAAAGCATAACCTCAGGGATAGAAGACCCGTCCATGACAATGAGGTGTGTCTACTCGTCTATCTGTCCATGTGGAGCAGGATGAATTGGTCTTATGTCTATGCGTCTATCTGACAGCGTAAAAGAACACCGGAAAGGTACGCAGCTACTCCACTAACTGCTCACCTCGCTAACACAGGACGCAACCCGAATCAAGCTGATGCAAAATCGATTAGAATGTTCAAATTTATGTAGCATGCCCATGAAAATCAATCGTGGTAAGCGCTCTTGAAGATACGGGAAGCGGCTGAGGCCATCGAGATTCGGTTGCGCGAATCGGAACGGCGTATTCAGAATCGGTTGATTCAGGTCTTACGGCTGGCCCACCGGATAGGCTAGCGAACCCTACTTGCTGGAATTGTGTAGAGGTTAAAACCGTGACCTGATTAACAGCAGTTATCGGCATGTACTAAGCGGTGGACTCATCTTCAAAGACATCGGTAGTCCATCAGAACGCTTTGCTTTGTACAAAATCTTACCAGCTTGATGAAAAAATTTTCAAAAATATGTAAGTTCACACTGACTTTTGATTTAACTTGCCATCATGGTCAGGTCAGGTCAGATCAGGTCAGTCCTTCAGGGACGAAACAAGCCTTCGCCTAACTACCGCACCGTTTCACGTGCCGGTAAGCAAGCAAAGACCCCCCACTTCGACGTTCAAGCTTCAATCCTGCAGATAAAAAAAGGGTAGAGCAACATCTGATAACTTCATTAAACTGTTCATGATATCCCATTAGAACTAATTGGAATCCACTATTCGCAGTGCAAATCCGGAAGCGGGGTGGAGCAATTCATATCTAGACTTATTTTAAAGGCTTCTATAGTATTACATTCCACTACTGCAGAGTGAAGCAAATTCCAACTACGTACTACGCGGTTAGGGAAATATTTCCCACGGATATCCAGTCTGGACCTAGGCGTCTTGAGCTTCAGACGGTGTCCCCGCAGGTGGTCCGACGTACCTAGTTCAAAGAGGTCGGTAGGCTCAATGCTACTAACACACTACATAATCTTAAACGTTTTTAGTAGGTCTCCTGTTAGTTTGCGTCATTCCAATGAGAACAAGCCTGAACAATCCAGGCGCTCAACACTCTGGCCTTCAATTATTATGGTGGCTACTCTTTGTATTTTCTCTAAGCAAGCAACATCCCTTCGAAAGTAAGGAGCCCAAGCCTGAACACAATACCCTAAGTGCGGCCGAACCACCGCTTTGTACAACGGGAGAAAGACTTCTGGGCTAGTATTACACAGCACTCTAATGTGGCGAAGAAGTTCCTGCTGCGCTGTGTTAGCAGTATATGGGCACTGAGCCGAAGGCCTAAGTTATCTCCCATAACGATGCGCAAGTCCCTCGCCTTACCTACATACTGCAATGTCGGGGATCCTGTGAAAGCGGAACTGCTGCATATATTTTTATCCACTTGTTACTTTCAACACCGGAGCTAGGTGGCACTGCGATGCGCTCTGCCACAGCGTACTAGTAGCGTCTTTTGAAGGAACCAAGCACATTATCTATTAGGTGAATTATGATGGGGCTTACCAACTTCTACGGGTGGTCGCATAGCCGGTTGATAGAGAGTAGGTGTTCGGTGTTTGGTTCCGATGATAACAAAATCTTCTAAATGAGCTCTTTAAGGTGCCGTGGCCCAAGCGCAGGCTGGAACCCACCGATTGGCTTGAAGTTGCAGTGAGCTTTGATTTACGGATGCAGAACACACACGGCGTCACATGCTGGGAACCCCAAGGGGAAGGATTGCAGATGCGCCGACACATGGAGCTCGTTCTGCTTGTGCTTATGGCCGTGGACGTTTGATTTCACCGTAATTTGATGGTTGTGTCAATATAAGGGAAGATAATTGGCCACGTACACATTGAAATATGGGACACCGAGATGAGAAAGGTGAAGTAAGAGTGGAAACGGGGATCTACCACTGGTGTACAACTGCCCAGTTCCCTGTACCGGTTGCGGTTATCCGAGAGAAATTGAGATTAACTATCCCCTACTGACTTCCGGTCGTCGGACCCACAAACTTACATAATGAAATAACTCGGAGAGAAGATGAAGCTACCGCACCCTCAGTCATGGCAGTTCATAGTAAGCATATTCTGCAGGAAACCTGTGCAGCTGGACAGCAAGTTGGGACGCTGAAATCCATGCCACGTGATAAATGAAAATACGGTCGGCGTGAGTTAGCTGCCGGGATGTAGAATGATGAACGACTCACTTTCAATTGTACATCCATAGCTCGCGGTTCCTAGCTTATTTGGAGTAGACTCCCCCGTGACCTAAGGCCTCGTTTTCGGTGGTCGTTTACTCAAACAGGATTCTACTGTTACGTTTTCTCTATCTACTGGTAACCAACACGATCTATTGTGACGGCAGTTCGGACAAATAGAAGATTTTTTGCTAACAGTTGCGCAGTACGTATGTTCGCTCTCATATCGAATACGAAATTCAAGCTTGGCAACCACAGCGGAATCCCGACCTCACTGCACTGGACCGATCTCATCATCAGGCTTCCAAATACGTCATTGGAATGTACAATCTAACATGCGATCAAAGGTTGAAGCAATTGGGAGTATTCATTGAGCAATGGAGAAATGGTTTATAGAAGGTATAAAAGTAAATTCTTGAAATGTCCTGTAGGATGATTAGGATGAAAATCTAAAACATTACAAAAACGGTATCAGTTAAAGATCGTGTGAGATACCTAACTCACCAAGGAGTTTGGAGTTGCACATGAGTGTATTCCTGCCTCGAGTATAAGATGCTAATGACATCATCCATTGTTTGCTGTGCATTAGTGTCACCATCTGATGATCATGGACTATATCACGTAGTGTAAATATGTCAGAGTATCATCAATACGTTTTTTGTATAGAGATAAGGTTGGAGCATTAGTTACCTATGCTGGGAGGGCGTTCCAGAGCAGTGACACTCGGAGGGAGAAAAAGGTTGCGCCGACATTGCAGTCGGCTGTACTGCGGACGGCATCGCTAATTAATAGATGACCTAGTAATGCCATACTTGATTGTACATAATCCAAATTATGTGTGTCGCTCTTCACTACAACACGTGCAGTAAAAGAAATCTAAGTGGTCACCCCCTGAATCTAGCCGAACAGTACAGCCGTCTGGAGTGCCGTAGAAATATCGTTTCTATTCGCAAGTGTCAGCGGTGGAACGCTCTCCCTAAATCGGTCATTACTGCACATACACTAGCCAAATATAAAAGTCGCTTGGACAACGCTCTTAGTCACTTACATTTTGTTAGCAGTATCTCTCCGTCCTACTCTCGGGAAACACCTTAAGTTTATTATTTTTGCCTGTTGGATCTACGAAACTACGCGGAGTGCAAGGCTATTGCATTAAACATGATAAATTCACTCGTTTGACAGCAAAACTACTGACTGCATTTTTTATTAACTTCGATAACTCAGTAGACCGCCTAACGAGGCTGGTAAACCAGTGCTTCTTATAGCGTATAAAGTCACCGTTCATTGTACCTGACTCTTAACATGGGCCTACCAACGGACGGCTGCGCAACTGAAGGTTGCTTGAATACAAGAGATGTTGTAACCTATGAACGTAGCATAATGATTTATGGTGGGTAAGAAAAGCATAGGTTTGAAATAAATGAGAATATACGTAGCTCGGGGTGTGGATGCGGATTTTGAGCGATTCTCCGAGCTGAGTGATTATTGTGCAGACGTTTCGTTGCCTGACTAGGCAACATCATCAGTGCGGTTTCAGGGGCCTGGTTCGCAGTGCCTCGTAAGCGACTTCAATGTCCAAGTGCCTATTGATCGAGTTCTGCTTTGAATGCCAGGCTTCAATGAACTCCCGTGCTTGCCGGCTTTTAGCCCTTCCGAGGATACTGGTATGATCTATGTCGAATTGATGGTTTTCAGCATCCATGGTAATGGAAGGAATTGAACGTTCAAGTACTGCACAAGTGAACCAAATAGTATGCGCTTTGGTAAGGCGATAGAGTAATGACATTGGAATTAGAGTTGTGGGAGTGAGCTGGTATTCGCCAAAGTTGTTATGCTTGATGCTTATTGCAAATAGTAATCGGATTGGTCACCGGTTTGCACAGATTCACGTACGTCTCTGTGAGTTATGCT